TAAGTCTCAGCAATTCTCACTTTGAAAGGATGTGCGGTTATGAATGAATAGAAAAATTAAGAATATTCATATTTAGTGAAGTAAAAGGGGAGTTAAAGTGTCAAGGGGATGATAGGAGTCCATAGATAGTTAGCTCAGTTTAGTATATGATTGTTAATTGTTATACCCTGTATTTTGTTCCGGGAAGTTCGGGGAGGAGGGTTGGGGGGGTAAGGAAGGGAGGGGGGGAGGGGGAAATATTTGTAATTTTTTTTTGTAAAACTCTTTAATAAAAAAAGAAAAAGGACGTGCGGAAAGTTAGAACTATTACAAGTCTGCCTTATTGGCTTTGCATTCTTCCATTTACAGACAATGTCTTTGGAGGGACTTTCCATATACAGTCACTGACCTATGATTAAATAGTAGGAAAAATGGATCATAATTTCCCAACCCCCCAAGATAGCAAAATCTAGTAAATAAATATATTCCTCCTACAGGTGGCTGAATCAGAAGTCATACAATTACTGTTTGGCAAATAAAAATTAAAGACTATAGTAGAAGTATGGGGATTTCTTGCAAAATTCAATAGATTGTCAATATTCTAAAATTAAAAGGAATAAAGTATCTAGTTGAAAGATTACATTCTATTTATTTCTTTAATAACATTTAAAAGTCATCCAACTCCATTACAACTCTGAGAGATGTTTAATATACAAAATTTAAATTAAAGCAATTCATACTGTCTATCATAGCTTTTTGTGAGTGTGAGGAAAGAGCTAAAGACATATTTGTAATTTTTGTCTCTATGGAACCTGGTTTTCTGATTATTCTGTATCCAAGTGCACAGATGAGCTTTCTGCAATTGTTCTCTTTTAACAAGCTACAGCTCCCATCACATGCAGTTAATATAGTTTATTATGATAGATATGGTCCAAACCATCTAGAAGACCCCAGATGGGGAAAGTGAGGTTAACATGTTAGACTGGTTTCATCTATTATGTTAAACCAAGGTTTGTTTAACTCTGGTTTATCAAACAAACCATAATTCACTATGTTTATGCAACCCAGCAAAATGAGCAAACAAAAGAAATGACATTCTGGGTCAATGTTTTATATGCCCAATATTCTAATTAGATCTATGAAATTCACTAGATTATTTTAGGATAGTTTCTCTCTCTCTCTCAGCCCAGTTTTCCTCATTGGGCTATTGTAAAGAAGGAAAGCTACATGGGGTTTTTTGGAGGAAGAAGAAAATAAAATGCCATGAATAGTACTATATTAAATCATTAAGTTTCAGAATCCAATGGATCTTACTCATACAGATGCACACAATTCTTCTATGAGTCCAACTTTACAGGATGGGTAATGATTACACTTGCTTCTCAATGTCATTGTGATACCTCTTTCCAACCTTGCTAAAGACTGGTAATGCCCTTGCATCTCCACCTTAGGCATAATTGGAGCATACAGTCACTTATGTAGCTGTAATACACTGAATGGTTTTTATATAATACATCATTTTACTATTTGCAAAAAAGAAGAGAAGAAAAAAGAATTTATATGGATATTTATAACCCATAGACTTGTTTGACCTTTTTCTGGCAGTTGTATAATAGACATGAGTTGTTAAAGCACACACCTTCTTTTAACTTTCTTTTAGAAACATGCCACGTCTTGTTTCCTACTTGCTTACACTGGAAACCTCTAAGATTAGGGGTGAGATAGCTTTACTAGAGGACACCTGGTCTACTGAGCTAGAGAAGCTTTAAAATCTCTGTATCAACCAAAATTCTGGATGGGTTGTTTGAATGGCACCATTTAAGACATAAGCATGAACTTATATTTTAAAAATAGAAACCACCATTATTAATAGTTTTATTACTGAGCTTCTCTGCTTGAACAACCCCCTCAACCCCCATGAGCTCAATCAAGAGGCTGAAACCAAGACCAAATGAGGTCCATTCAAAGCTGACCTATTTTCCATCCCGCTGCAACTTCTATGTAGGAGTAATCCTGTGCAATATGCATTGTAATGGCCAGAATGGCAGACTTTGGCCATACTTCTGTTTATCAAATTTATATGCCATTTGTCTCATACTGTGAAGCAACATAAGTTTCCCTAAATAACACTGCACGTTTGAAAAGCAGCTAAAGTCCTGTAAATGAATGCTTTCTCGCTTAACCACATTGACTTTTGAAAGACAAGAAGAGAACGGCTACGTACAAACATCTTCAAACCTAACCTTTTTATAGAAATAATCTACTATAAATAGGTTAGGTTTGAAGATGTTTGTATGTGGCCATTCTCTTCTTGTCTTTGGAAAGTCAATGTGGTTAAGTGAGAAAGCGTTCATTTACAGGACTTTAGCTGCTTTTTAAACATGCAGTGTTGTTTAGGGAAACTTATGTTGACTATGAGATGAATGGCATATAAATTTGATAAATAAAAATATGGCCAAAGTCTGCCATTTTGGCCATTACAATGCATATTACACAGGATTACTCTTATAATCTATAAATTGCAGCAGGCAAAATGGGACAGCTAGGCTGCTAAATTGTAGGAAGTACACATAGATCATATAACCGCTTTCTGAAAGCACTGCACTGGCACAATTTAATGTGTTCATATGGTATTAATTTTTAAAACCCAAGTGGTTTAGAGCCATGCACAGGTGGGTTTCAGCAGGTTCTGACCAGTTCTGGAGAACCGGTAGCGGAAATTTTGAGTTGTTCGGAGAACCGGTAAATACCACCTCTGACTGACCCCGGCCCCATCTATTCTCTGCCTCCTGAGTCACAGCTGATTGGGAGGAAATGGGGATTTTGCAGTAACCTTCCCCTGGAGTGGGGAGGGAATGGAGATTTTACAGTATCCTTCCCCTGCCATGCCCACCAAGCCACGCCCACAGAACCGGTAGTAAAAAAATTTGAAACCCATCACTGGAGCCATGCTATCCAAAAATCCTCCTGTTTAGTGGCCTATGAAGATTTGCAGGAGAGGCTCTTGTAATTAATTAATTCATTAATTAATTAGATATATACTATACCCTGACTTTCCATTAGGGCCTCAAGGCAGCATACATAGTGCTCCCACCTCTTGTCTCCACTAGCATTGACACCCCTGTAAAATAGGTTGAGCTGAGAGATAGTGACTAGCCCAAAGTCACCCAGAGTGAAGATGGATTAGAACCTGGGATTCATTGCTCTTAATCCAACACCTTAACCACTACAGAAAAAATTAGCCATGGGAAAAGTTGTTGAATGTATTCCATTGGGAATTATCATTCGTTCCCACTTGGTCTACCTTTAGAAGAACAACCCAAAACCCATCACTTTTGCCAGTATTGTTAATTAAAGAAGGTACTAAATTATAGGTATGCTTCTTACCTTTCCATTTTGCATTCTATTTTATTATTATTTGCATTCTATTCTATTATTTCATTATTAGCTGCCTTGAATACTTACTTAAGCAGGATATAAATTTAATATATTCATCCTTGTAGGCTAATTCATTGTCATTCTTGGTTCTATCCTCTTTGAAGCATTAAGAACTTGCTATGATGGGCCTGGGGTAATACTTCATACCATCCCTCTTCCTGGCCTTTTTTTTTTATTATTGTCAGGAGCTTTCTGTTGTGAATATCATAAGCTCAACTCATTATACCCTCTCTTCCTATAACAACTGACTATCATGGTATTTCTTGAGCTACTTCGTTTTTCCCGCTCTGTTACAATTTCAACTAAAGCCAATTCAATTTCACTTCAGATTCCAAAACCACATAGCTACATCCTTCTTTCTCAAGGCCCTCACCCAACCAGGCAATATTAGCACCATGTGGTCTGGTAATGGGAACTTGTGAATGAGGAAAATCAATATGAAAACTCAATGTAACTGCTTAAAATAGAGCATTTCAATCCTCTGTTATGAGAAACCATGTGTATTGGAAACCCATGAGGATTAGAAACAAGAAATGAAATTAAAATTTCATATTCAGTGAGTCTTCTGTTTTCTTGATTTCAGCTGAACAGACTTTGCATAGTTTGGTAGACCAAATTCTAGTAAAATTTCTGAGATGATGTTACTGTGCAAATAATGTAAATTATGCAAAAAATATCATTTGCATTGGCCACAATGATTTTTTTAATTTCCTGGATTTCGTTATTTCATTCATCTGCTGAAATATGTTTTCACAGTACATAATTTATGTTGTTATTGCAGCAATAGAACAATAACCAGATCCTATGCCTTTTTACCGTTAAGAGAGACTATACACAGGAGAAGAATATAATAAAATGGTATCAACATTATACAATAGTGTTCCTCTATTGTGAAGATAAACTTTCCACAGGATTTACAAGAAACACACATAATTTAGAACTAGTGATGCAAATATAACATCGAAAAAATACCATGTGACACGAATTATGGTGTGGATGTACACTACTGTTGCAGCTGAGAGCAGTTCTAACAGGTTAAGCAGTTTCTTGGAACATTTATTTATTTGATTGACTGAAGTCCTGCTTTTCTATTCATTCAAGACCTCAAGGTGGCTAGCAAAACCACCAAAATAGAGGATAAAATGAAATACCAAATAGAGGATAAAATGGGATATATATGTAATTTTCAGAACATGTGGTAGAAATGCACATTAAATGACAGCTAAGGAGGATTTCAGCCACAAAGCATTTTATTTTCTAAGAATGCTGGTAGAGTCAAGAGGCATTGCTGGAAATACAGGGAAGTCTATTCAGGCTGATGCTTTTCTTTGATGCATGCTGGCTTCCCATTAACTTTTAATTTTTAAAAAATAAATTAGGTAGGCAAGGTATTTATGTGTACAGTAAGGAACTTGTTAGGGGGGCACAGTCTCCCCCAAATACCACACGGGGAACTGACAATTAAGGATGCTACTACAACAGCAGATATCTGTGCTGTAAATTTTGAGATCGTACAAAGAAGAGTGCTGGTTGACCTGTGCTTCTCAGGTGCTCAGTGTTCACACCCTGTTCCCACTGTGTAGAAAAGATACCATCCCTTTCCCGAGAGAGCAGGCAGAGAGCCAGGCAGGTCTGCTGGGCCCATCCCACTAGCCACAATCTGGAGGCGTGGTGCAAGGATGTCAACTTCCTCTTAGCATTTCAGAACCTTCAGCTCCAACATTGCCACCGTTCCCTCTTCTTAAGCAGAGGGATGAGTCGCTGTAAAGAATACCTAAAGGGCTTTCTAGCCCAGGTGGAAGCTAAGGCCGGGCAGGAGAAAGGGCAGCTGGCTGAGGAATTCCAGGTGAGTGAGATCTATTTCTCTGGTAATGAAGAGCTAGGCCTCAGGGAAGCTGTGAAGTAACTTCACTCTACCCTGTGCTGTCCCTGTCAGTACCTATTTCCCTCTTTTTTTTTTCTACAGCCAAAGGTTTGTCTTTGCTAGGAGTGAAGCAGCAGCAAAGCTATTTGTTGGGTTTTGTCCCTCTTTCTCCCAGTTTTCTAGTGCTTTGATTAGGTACCCAGCAAACAGAAATTCAACAGCTGTTCCTGGCTCTGTGTTTCTGTTCCAAGAACAGAAACACATGTTGGGTTTTTGCCTGACCTACAAAATGTATGTGTGCCTTTTTTTCCCATACATAGGAAAGAAAACGGGATGGTGGTGGGTGCACAACTGACCTGGTAAATGCTTCTGTGGAATTGGCCTGCTGAAAAATGTCTTTTTGCTTATGTATCAGTGCGTGCTTTATCGTACTGAAGAGCTGATGTGCTCTTGTATGAACCCTAGCCTGATGTCTATCTTGCGAAGACTGTCAGGTCCTTTTGCCAAAGCTAAGTGAAAAGCGAAGATGATCCCTCTACAGTTGGCCAATAATTATTCTTGAGGTTAAGTGGCCAGGAGAGAAGGCCAGTCTATTCTAGCTGTTGGAGAGAGCCAATATATGTGTTTCACTGTTTAGCAACTGGGCTATGTTTGCCCATATCTCTCTTTTAACCACTGTAAAGTAACCAGGCTAAGAAAGGGTACTGTATCAAGGAGAGCAGTTACTAAGAGGGTTTTTATTAAATGGCATTAGTAGAAAGCAATGTCTCATTTGCCGTCAAAGTAAACCAACAAGCAGATGTGGCAGGAATTTCTCTTAAATTACAATGTATTTAGTATTATGAGGAAGGGATGGGCCTACGCTAGAGCAGTGTTTCTTAAACATTTTGCTCCAGGACCCGAAAAGAGCTTTTCTTTGTATGGGTTACCTTTATTAATATCTACTGTATTAAAAATGAAAGTCAATGCATTTGTAGAATATTTATTGAATTATGTAAAAATAATATTAAGTCCATTGGATACTAACACATAAATAAATGTCAGTAAATACATTCCCTGAAAAACCCTATACTCTTTTAAATAAAAAAATAATCAGAAGAGCGGCATTGTTTTAAATATTTGCAAATCTCTTCAACATAAGGTAGATAAGTTTTGATTTTGTGGACCCTTGAAAGGATCTTGAGGAATCTCCAGTAGTTCTCGGATAGTGGTGGGTTGCTACCGGTTCGCCCCAGATTGGGCGAACCAGTAGCAGTGGCGGCGGGAGGCTCCACCCACCCGCACAGATGCTTCTGCACATGCCCAGAAGTGTTGCGCAAGAGTACAAGCACCCATGAACAAACCAGTAGCGACAGCTTTTGAAACCCACTACTGTTCTCGGACCACACTTTAAGAAATACTACTCTAGAGTGAAATATATATGAGCACATAAGAAGCTGTGAACCAAGATATTTGTAGTTCACTTATTCATTCATTTTAGTTCAATCATGTCTACCATAAATTCTGTAGAACGCAAGCCATCTTTCTATTCCTCCCTGCCCTTTGCAAGATAATACTGAATTATAATGTATTGCTTTGACTCCTGCTTTGTCAAAAAACTTTACAGATGCAGACTGTGGTACTATCCTGAAGCCCATTTGACTCGTAAACCTTTTGCAAATAATCTTAAGGTCTGGCAAAAGTACTAATGCTACAATAGAAGTTGCCAGCCAGTTTGTAGAAGAACAAATGTATGAGGTGTTTGATACAAAGTTCTGTCATTTTAAAGTTGGAAGACTGATTTAACTCCATATTGCAGGCATAGGCACTAAGAAGGGGATGCTAGAAGCCAGCAATTTTAGATTTGTTCTCAAAGTAAGTGTGTGACACACTTACTTTGGACATTATGGTTGGAACTTCTTCCTCTCTAGATGTTGTATGTAACCACTTACTTTAAAATGTAGTAATGGTGCCTTGCTGCACTGTTGAGTTGTATTTCTGCTTCAAATTCCTGTCCAAAGAATACCAATAATTCCCAATTTCAAAAAATGAGAAAGGAATGATTCAGAGGGAGGGGCTATGGAATCATATTTGTGTGGTGTCCTTGGTGCTCTCTGAGCTTGGTTGTTTTTCCACAGACATTTCATTACCAAACTAGGTAACATCATCAGTGCTACCTAATTGATGCTACCTAGTTTGGTAATGAAACGTCTGCAAGAAAACAATGGAGCTCAGTGGGCATCAAGGACCCCACAATTCAACCCTGAGCTACAAATATTCTCTTCCATTAGGATCATATTTATGGAAGTTTAGAAGGGATGCACTGGATTGTATCGCCTCTCTCTGCAATTCCCCCACCCCTCAAAAAATAGAATGCTTTCTTTAGAATTGTGAGGGGCAATTTGTTAGAAATCAATAGCTGTGCAAAATGAACAGTAGATTATACGCTATAAATCTGAATACAGATTTTTCTTTGAGACTAAGTTTCTGGCACACAAAGCCAGCAGGACTTTTCCATGCTCAGCTAGACAACTGAAATTATGAATCCTTCTAAGCCCTCCAGCATCCCAATTGGCTACTGCACATCATGTGCCAAGATATGCTGCAATTGGTCACTTTATGGGTGAACTGACTAGAAAGACTCATTAGATTGCTTAGCTCACTTAGAGAGATGGGAAAATACAGCCAGCTACATTTGACCATAAAGGGCCACATGCAGGAACCCTCTATATTTTATGAGTCATATTTTGGTCCTTGCAGTGCCAACTACATTTTAAGAAGTAGTGACAGTTTTCCATTCTGTGTAAGACGTCCTTACTGATCCATCTTGCAAATTCAAAATACCCTTTATAGACTGAGAATTTAATACCCATTCTGATTGCCAGCCCTATGACGAGTTGATAATGTTATATTTCCACATGCCTCAAAGACTTGTCGGTCTTGAACTGAGTAAAAAAAAAAAAGCTACTATAAAGGGTTCATAAAGAATGCCCTAACTGATAAGATGGATACATTCCATTTAAATTCAGGTTTAAGATGTCATTCAACCTGTTTGGTCAGCAGCCACACAACATGTACCGGATTTTTAAAAATTTAAATCATTTGGGAAAGGGTTGCTTTGCATAATGTAATCACACCCTGCTAGGAAGCAGATGGAGCAGAGGTGCTTCAGATTCAATGGGCTTATTTTGCATCTGTATTGTACATAACATTTAGGAACGCTCAGCTCCTCCTAACTTCTTCCTACCATTTCAGTAGTCACTATTGAAAGAAGAATTAGTTTTAAAAATGAGTATTCCCACTTAATATATAATTTTAGGATTGTAGAACTGGAGAAGGTGCAGAAAAGAGCAACTAGAATAATGAAAGGGCTAGAGTAGCATTTCAAAGAGGACAGACTGAAGGATCTTAGCTTGGAAAAGGTAGGTAAAGAGAAATGCACTAAATCTAAAGTGATACAGCATGAAATTATACAGGAAGGGGAAAGTAGTATTCCTTTTCCCCTCCCCCATATTCCCTGGTCCATTCCCACTTAATAATAACAAATAATGGAAAATTCAGGACATACTTCTTTCTTTGCTGGCTCAGGATTCTGGGAGTTGTAGTCAAATGCATCCTTAAGGTACCATGTTGGGGAAGGATAGATTGTGCAAACCTAGTTCACATACTAGAAATTTTGACTTCAAGGCTAATAGCCTGCTGATTTAAACAGAAAAAGGAAATGGAAATATTTCCCTACTGGCTTTCATATACACACACACACATAAACTAGATAGTGAAATAGAAATATGCCTGTGTGCACATTTCTATTTCACTTTTAGCTTAAGAGGCAGAGGAAGCAGAGACTCTATGTATTGAAATTTTATTTTTATTTATTGATTAGATTTTTATCTCACTTTCATTATTACTCTGTAAATAACTCAAGGCAGCAAACATACTTAATTTTCCTCCTCCTCCTATTTTCTCCACAACCACCGTTCTGTGAGATGAGTTGGGCTGAGAGAAAGTGACTGGCCCAAAGTCATCTAGCAGGCTTTTGTGCCTAAGAGGCAAGATTAGAACTGACAGTCGCCTGGTTTCTAAACCAGCACCTTAACCACTACATCAAACTGGCATAATAGGGCAGAAAGGTCCTTGCCTTTGAACTAATATTCCACAGAAAATATAATCAATGTTTGGATTATATGTTGTTATATGTTTGAGTTATATGTTTGGGTTATCTGTAAACTAAGAACACAGCAATATATAGCTTTAACAAATAAACAAATAAAGACATGCTTTGATATACGGTTCCTTTTTAAGTCCAGGTTCCTCCACCCTGCATATAGTCAGTTAGGCTTCCTACTCCACCAAGAGACTGAAATTGATATCAAGGCAGCCCAGTTTCCCTGCTAGCTACTGAGATCTCTACAAGCTGCAGCATGTTTGAGCCTCCACTGCCTGGCCACATGAGACTACTCACAATGACTGTTCTCTTTTTTTTTTAGTTTTTTTATTATTATTAAAAAGTTTTACAAAGAAAATTTCCCCCCCCCAATTTCCCCCCCCCCCTTTTCCCTCCCCCCCCCCCCCCCCCCCCCTCCCCCCTTCCCATCCCCCCCCCCCCCCCCCAGACTTCCCAGAGCAAAATTCGGGGTATTTCAATTAACAATCATAAGCTAAATTAACCTAACTATTCTTAAACTACCAAATCCCCCCCTGAAACCTTAACTCCACTATAGATAATGTAATACTTCTAAAGTTTAACATTCATTCATAAGCTATTTGATATTTTCTTGTCTGATACTTATTTTGAATATAATCAATCCATCTTCTCCATTCCGATATATATCTTTCTTGTGTATAGTCCTTCAAATATGCTGAAATTTTTGCCATTTCTGCTAAATTCGCTACTTTCAATGTCCATTCTTCAATAGTAGGCAAAGAGTCCTTCTTCCAGTATTGCGCTACCAACAGCCTAGCTGCTGATGACTGTTCTCCAAGACATTCACTCTTCCTCATTG